TAAAATGCAGGACCTGATGGCAAATAGGTAATCTTTCCAGATAGCAGAATTTAGGGGGGAGGAAATTTTATTTTAAAAAATTATTTTTAGGTTAAATAAAAATATTAATTCAGATTATAAGATTATAATATGTATTTCAAAATATATTACCTAAAATACTGTTTTTAAACTGTTGACTTTTACTCGGGAAAGGAGAGGTGGTAGGAGAAATAAGCGGTAGCAAACTTAATTTTGCCACCCCCTTGAAGAAAATCCTAGTTCTTACGCTAACAAAATGGACAGAACCTTAAGAATTAACTCTCTTGATAACATACAGAAACCAAGGTACACTTTAGTAGACAAATGGAAGCGAATCAGATATGGTCCTATAGCGAATATTTTTAAGCTTTAGACAGTCATTAAACCTAAGAGTAATACTTTATGTAAATGCAAATTTATCTTACCCTTTTTAAAAGATATTTATTTCAGCTTTATCCCTCCTACTAACCAAAATGCATACTATATATTTTATAAAAAGAAGTTTAAGTTTAAATAAACATATATGATTGGATTTTTAATAAAAGTCAATTTTAAACTAGTAAAAATTAATTTTTTTAATGCATTTATTAATATTTCAGTTATAAAGTTATTAAATCATTAATAAATAATTTGAATAAGAAAAATATTTTATTATAACTACACTTTATACACAAATTTTATTTCTGGTCAACTATTTTATAAAGTGATAAACTTTTTCATGTACATCTTTGGTCAAGTTCCTAAAGTTGGCTCTGAGTTCATCAATGATATCAGGTCTGTTTCTAAACTAGACAAAACGATACCATCTATGAGCTCAGTGCAGAGTTTAGGTTCTTGTCTTGTTTTACTGATTTGAATTGTTGAATCTGATTGAACCGTGGATAGTTTAGATTATCTTATTCTAATTCTATACCCATAAATAATTTATACTACCTCATTTAACGAAACTAACAATGAAAAATATTGTATATTATTTTTTCTTGAGTTTAGCCATAAATCTTAAATTTAAATAATTGGATATAAATTAATAATTTTCATAGAAGTTCAAGTAAAAAGAGTTATAATAATCCATTTTATTCAGCACTTAATTATTCATTAATTTTATTCTTCTTTCCTACAGGGAAGTTGTTTAATGCTCTTTATTTTTGGCAATAAAAAACTTACAGGTAGATAAACAATTAGTTTATTTGTTGAATTACATGTCAAGTTGAAGTTTCAGGAAAATTAAACCCATCTTTCAAATTACAAATTATGACAAAGGAGCACACCAGGCTTGAACATATTATGTAACAACACTACATTAACATGTATTCTTTCTTAATTCAATCTTTTCTAGCCATACATCGCTATGAAAGTATGCAATTTAAGTTTTGAATATGGAAATAATTTTCCCGAAATGTCAACTTGACATGTAATTGAACAAATAAACCAATTGTTTGTATACCTGGAAGTTTTTTATTGTCAAAAATAAAGAATTAATTTTATTAATATTGTTATCAACCAATAATTTTGATTTCAATTGAATTATTATAAAATAATTCTAATAATAAAATAATTGTGGGTTTGATGGTTGACTGTCGTGAATAATGAAGAGAAGGATGGATGGGGTGATCAGTCAGAAACAAAAAGGTGAAAATAAATAATAATATTTATTTTAAAATTTGCCTAAAATAAATATTATTATTTATTTTTGCCTTTTTATTTCTGACTGATCACGCCAACCATCCTTCTCTTCTAATAATAAAATTTAAAAAAACTAAAATTATTCTACAATTTTAATGTTCAATAGGAATATTACTTAATACAAAAATCAAGGTTCTTGTGGGAAAGACAAAATTCGAAAATGTGGACAGAAGAAAGAAAATAACAGCACACAGAGATAATGAGGGGAAAATGGAAGGAAAGGAAAAACAAAAACTAGAAAATATCCAAAAGTAATGATATCCGCGTGGTCTCTAAGGCTCAATACTTAATACGATAAAAATAAATATATCCTACAAACAGTCTAGAAGGACGTCCTCATGGAATTTTTGGGATTTAAGTGTGTTTTGAATTGGCCATTAACAGCCTGATTTATCTATTTTTATGTGGTTGAAGACGGCAAAATAAAATCTAATAAAACACGATTTTCATTATGGTTAATTCCACAAATTTTCCATTAAAAGCAAAGTTAGAAAGTCAAACCAGAATTTATGAAAGATTCATTCACCATACGAAAGGCAGCAACTTTGTTTTTCACCATTTTTATCTTTTCTTAAATTTTTAGAGGATAAAGGTGAGCTCCATCACAATGATTGTCAGTCACAACATTATGGTAAGAAAAGAACAAAGAATTGAACAGAGAAACCTTTGTCTTTGATAGAGCAAAAGGAAATATAACAGAACAGCACAAAAGACCAACCTATGAAACAGGGATTATGAAAATAAATAAAAATTAATTTTTAACAATTTATTTGAGAAAAGCCTTGGTTTTATTCAAATAAACTATGTTTCAATAGTTTGTTTTACAATATTTTTTTATACAAAATGGTTTTAATTTAAAATATGTGAACTTTTCCAAGATAAATACAAACTGAAATTATCCTTAACTTCAAATAAATACAACAGAAATCAAATGTACCTAAACCAGAACTAGACATCAGTGATTAAAAAATAATTAATATAACCGAAACATAACCAACCTTTATTAGAATAAGTGTTTTCTTTAAATAATAATAAAAATATTGAATGTCATGCTTAACACTCAGGAAGCAGTCAGTTTTTAACATTTTTTAAGAATCGTCTGGGTTCTGACTGTCATTCATGATATAACAGTTGAATTACTACTTTAATAAAAATGAAATATGTTTATATCCATTCAAGGGAGTGTAATAAAGTATACCTGCAATCATTTCAATAAGGTACCAATAATACATTATGCATCAATATTTGTTTATTAAATTCAGAAACATAAAAGGTAGATATAAATCAGTTTGATATTTATTTTTTTTGAGTGTGGAACCTAAAAGCCTTTAAATTGCCATTATTTTCATACAAACGAAATATTGAAGTATACACTTATACTATGGTTAATAATAAAAAAAACATTGATGTGACCATGAATTCTTTTATTACTTATATCTTTTCTTTATTTCTTGGGAATATATAAGGACCAACATTATTATTGGAATATTAAAGAAACAAACAATCGTATATATATATTTCTTTATATTATGTGAAATTATTTTGTTTATTAAATTCAACAAAAATCCTTTGAATGATTATAAATAAACATAATTTTTTTAATATGAGTTACTGCTATTCAAGAATGCAATGCAAATAATGCTAGTATTTTGAAAATACTCGATGAAAGTAAAAAAACTATATTTATACAAACATTAGTTAGTAATAGAAGGTGAACCCTACATTGTGATTGTGAGCTTAAAAATATGAAATAAAATACAACCACAAAAAAAAAAAAAAAATATATATATACCTTCATAACGGCAATTTACTGGAAACGTCGACTACACAAGCGGTTATTTTCAGCTTTCATCAAAACACTATTGGATAACAAATTTTAAAAACTGATTAGAGAGATATCACAGGAACACAATTGGCTCTTCCCGAAAAGATACTGGGCAAGAACTGGCGTATAGCCAAAAAATAGGTTTGACCTGTACTGCAGAAGGTTGAGGATGAATAAAAATAGTATATTCAACAGAGGTATATTTTGGTGATACAGATGAGTTAAATTTTCACACTCGGTCCAAAAAGAGTTAAATTTAGACAAAGGGACACAATAGAAGAGTGAGGAGCAGATAAATCAGTCTTAATAAGAGGTAATTTAAATTAAGTGTGTATTCAGTCAATAGGAGCTCAGTGAGCTGATTATTTAACTGAAGTACAATAAACGGTATTTGTATAATTTAAAAAAAAAAAAAAAAGAAAATTTAGAGTATATATCAACATTAAGTTAAAGCTATAGCTATGCTTACTTTAAAACCTTGATTTGATGAATATAAAATTTGATGATTATAAAAATTTGATGAATATTGCAAATTAAAATTTCTGGAATAATAATAAGTATGCAAATTAATAATAAAACCATTATCAAACTACAATGGTGCCTAACATAAACAGACTTCCAGTTGAATCCAAAAAAAAAAACATTGTTTTGGAGTTACAGTAACAATTATGGCATTAAATCAATAATAGTTTAAAATATTTCAATTCAAATGAATATTTATAATAGCTGAATAGTTTAATTTCAAGCCAAATTATAAGAAAGATAATCAATACATAACCAGCCTGCTTTACTTCATATTTTCATTTTTGAATCAAATAATTTGGTGAAGTATTGGTTGTAATTTAAATATTAACAATGACATGATTCAATCATTTTCATTATAACATTTCAAACAAGACATATATATATATACATATATAATAAAATATCTCTGTTCTGATCAAGTTTCTATTATTTACATTAGTCAGTAAACAAATATATTTAATTCTAATGTTCAGAAATCAACTGATAATGAATTTAATAATTAATGTAGTTATTCGGGTTAAAATTTAATTTAGGACAAACTATTAGTTTATTATATGAGACAGCTATCCAATGTTACAAGATAAATAAGGTTTGACAAGCAACAGGTGTTCCTCAACTCTCATGTCAAAGTAGGCTTTCATACAAACAGCACACTCAGACAAATTTAATTATTTTACAAAACAATATCATAAAAGCTATGGTGTATCTTGAAGAACAATAAGCCATAGTCATAAAAGAAATTAGCACTCTTCAAGCTAACACCACATAACAACTACTGCTATTGTCAAAATCACATGATTAAGCTGTGATAAAAAAAAAAAATAAAGAATTACAAAATGTGTAATAAAATCTTTGGAATTATACTCTTGCAAAACCGACGTTTTTAATAAGTTAGTAGGAGGGAGTTCATTAATACTATAATTGAAATAATTAAAACAAATGCAAATACCTTTCCTCAAGCAATCCATGGGGAGCAGCAGACAAAGAACTAGCAAGGTTAGCACTATCGTTGGGTGTTTTTTTATAATTGATTGCATTCGTATTACCATTAATCACAATAGGTTCGTTATTAGAATTGGGCATCAATTTTTGACTCTCATCGGCGAGTTCTCCTTCGTCCTCGCTGTGACTAGACTTATCGTTCTTATTTGATTCCATGTTCTAACTCTTCTTCGGTCCAGAACTATGACACCAAGAATGACAATCCCTCAGGTACGAATGGACAATTGGAAACCCCAACAGACGGGCGTTGACTAGATCACTACTTTCGATACTTCAGGTGTAACCTCCTCCCTCCAGGCGTGAGGTAGATAAGAGAGGGGAATAATGAAAAAAGTAATCTAATTGTTCTAGAGCTGTTATCACTGTCCCACTTGAAGTGGAAATGACTGAAAATATTTAAGATTATATCTATCATGCTAAACGTCCGGCTCAGCATGTCTGAATCTAAACGTAACAAGTCCATCGAGCCAAAACAAGATTACGATAATTTTACTCTGCATCGACCGAATCGAATAAAAAACAATTTTAATTTAACTTTAACTACTCTTAACACTGGTTATTGATGGACTCGTTTATTTATATTATCTAAGAAGCATATGTTTTGAGTAAGCAATCAAGAATGAATCATATCCTCTAGTGAGAAATTCTCATAACGTCACGTACGATTTTAGTTCCCTTATATTCATTTTCTAAACTGTTTTGTCTTAGAAATAAACTGTTCTAAATCCTTTCCCTTCCTTTCTCATGCATTGTTATTTTCATCCATTCAATTTCGCGTTGCATATGAATATTGTGAATATAAAAAATAGCCTTGCATTCTTTGAATTCAGCTGTAAAGAAAATAAAGAGAAAATTTGAAAGTACAAACATGATCTATCTGTTGATGAAATGTATTATGTCCAATTTGTTCTTTTATTTTCATAGATATTTATAGATAATTTGACTAATTATATTTATAGAATAATGTACCTAAATATAATTTTTATTCCAAGACAGATTTGAGATTTGAAATCTTATTTTCACATTGAAAGAAATACAACAGGATCAGGATCAGCTTAAACGACACTGGAGACTTGAATGCTGAGCATTCTTCTATTAATCAACTCATGACGGTCTTAACTTAAAAACCTGCTTTATTGAGATAATTTAAATTGAAACATTTAAATTTGTATGTTTTTCAAATATATGATTAAAATTTGTATGATTTCATGGTGGTTATGACAAATATTTAAGTTGAGTTGCTAATTAGTTTACATTCAGGTGCGTCCAGACATTTTTACAAAGTATGGGAGACACAATTATCTAACTTAACTGTCAGCGACATTATTGCTAAACCAAACTATTTATTTTATTTCTCTTGATACCGACAATATGGAAAATATAAGAAAGAAAAAAAAAACTAGCACAGTGAAATAAACATTTATATATTTGTTTGTCCCATAGTTTTTAAAAGTCTAAATGCACCTTTAAAATAGACTTAGTCAAAATCAGATAATTTCTTTAAAAAAATACATTAAAACTTTCGTATTGCATTTTTTTTTTTTATAGAATCTTTAAGTGAGAAATTTAAAATGATAATGCACAATAAACTTAATTCTTGATACATCCTTTTTTTTTTTTTTACCCCCCAGGAATTTCTTGATAAAATACAATATATATATAAATGTTTTATATACATAAATTTTTCAATTTCCTTTTATAATATAATAATTAGATAGTCGTTGTATCATTACGATTATCTAATTATTATATTATACAACCAACTTTAAACGTTAATACATCCTTTATCATCAAATAAATTATATATATCACTTTACTTTCCCTATTCAATGAGAAGAAGATTATTTAAAATAAAAAAATTGAGGATCTTTCTATGTGCTTTTTATGTATAAAACAAAAAACAATTTTTTAGCAACTGATTACAACTGACATTGACAAACATTCCTTTATCGATTTTATTTTAATATTTAAAAAAAAAAAAAGTTGTCTTTATTAAAATCTCGTTTAAAAATGTACTGAAAATTCTAATTTAAGATTTTAACGTGAAGAAAGGTGATTTATAAATTAAATCTTTAAATAAAGACTTTAAATTGATACTTACACTTATACTTGAGCATTTTTTACATTTTTTGTACAGATAGTAAAAAAAATAAATAAATAAATAAAAAAAAATGAATTTAATATGAACCATAAATATAGTTAATGAGGACTTCATTAACAAGGACCAACGTTTTTGAAGTTCAGAAATAATAACTTAATCTGAAATAACGATTCAACGCGGTTTTGTTAAGAGAGAGAAAAAAACAGCCGGTCATAAGATTATTTTTAGGTATCCAGTTAAATTATGGGAGATACGATTATCCAACTTGACCATCCAACCATCCAAGTTAACAGAGAAATTAGCGTTAAGCCAAACCTTTTTTTTTTTTTATTTCTCTTGTTACCGACAGCAGATGGAAAATGTAAAAAAACACAAAGATAGGGAAACAACCACTTAAATGTCTGTGTTTCTCAAACTTGGTGAAATGGAACTTTTTATGCATATTTCGATTAAAATGAGTTAAGTAGCTAATTGGATTAATTTCTTCACATATAACCAGGTGTAAATCGAAAATATGTTCCCAAGACGTTTTAAGGTTAAAATATGCAATAAATTGTAATGAGGCCATTATGCAACGAAATCAAGGATTTTTTAAATTTATAATTAGTCAAGATTAGAATTTATATGACGGTAAATTACCAACAATACATTTATAAAAACTGCATTGGCTATTATTGAGGGAGGAGATAAAAATATTAATCTCGTCCCACGAAAAAAATCTTCGATCTGGATTTACTTTTAATCGTCATTATTGATAAAATATTAATGAAAAAAAATTGAATCAAAAGTACTAGCACAAAACTATATATTTAATTTTCAAATATTCACTAAATTAAATTTGTACAGTAAGATAAGATACAATTTATACCATTTCATACAGAATTTGATGTTAGCAAATAGCTTTTGCATGAGTTTTAAAAACAGAAAAAAATTATTGCAGCATTTTTTAAATTATTATTATTACTCCTAATTAGTTAGTTGACTTGGAATCTCTCTCTCCCCCAACCCCCCTCTCTTTTTCTCTCTCTTCCCGGGATCAAAATTATCTGGTTCATTCGATGCTGAACATAAGAAAAGGCCATGAAGTAAACTTTATTGTCTTATTTTCAAATTACATTAAAAAATGGCGGTTCGTAAATCAGAAATAAAAAAACAGGAGGTACTATTTTTATTATACTAGTCCATATTCTAGTATTTCCTGTTGATTTTGACATAGCCCGATCAGAAAGAGAACTGGTATATTCATATATCTTTTTAAAGGTCATTTAGTGAGTTTGTGTCGGCTTTGAATAAACCAAAAAAGCAAAGTATATCTGTACTGGCAGAAAAATAGATCAAAACGTATACAGAAATCAAACAAATTCAAAAGGATGAATTCCATCTTCCATTATTGGGAACAGAACGTAATTCTAAGAACGATGCGTCACAGGACATTAGCAGAAGGATCACAGCAGCCACAAGGTATCGTTTTGGAATGGAAAACCAGTAAAAAAGCTATTTCCTATCTTACGAAACAAAAATTTACCTCTAAAAATATTAGTGCGACCTCTTTTCACATATTAAGTAAAAACACTGCCAATCCCAAAATTTGAGGAAATAAAATTCCTGTTTGAGAGAATAGGTTAGTGAAAGAAGCCGGCTTACTATGAATAATGAGATAAACACTAGCGTAATTAAGGTCGAGTGCGCCCAAAAACAAACATCGAAATCTTCCTTATTCATATGCATTCTCCCTTTCCCCCACCAGATTCGAGGTGCATATCTCACACTAAAAATACTCATTACTAAATCTTCTTATAGCCAGATTAATTCAGTTATAAATATAAATAAGTTATAAAAATTGGCAAAAGATAATATGAGGCAGGCTTGAGCTACCCCAGTGAGTAAGGAAGTATGCTCCCATCTACGAGATCCTGAATGCGAGTCCGGCTGAAGGTAATTATTTATTCTGTTTCCTCAGCCGTGGATAAATCCTGGGATCGGTTAAATCACCTCCTTGCACAACTGCTGAGATATAGTGCTTGCTTCAAAACTGCTGTGCCCCAGATCTTCCAGAAGATTGTAGTAATACAGGAACGGAAAAAACAATAATAATCGTATACTTAATAAAAAACTGTTTGTTTTAATTACTAACAATCGAAAATCAAACAATTGGACGAAATTAGAGCCTATCGATAGTTATTTTGAACAATTTCAAGTTTATTTTTTTATAAATTATCCTCTAATGTATTCAAAATTTAACTTTCGGGCTATTACGTTATCAATACTTTTAAAAACTCACATTGCTTATTTCGGATGAACTCATAGTACTCAAATAATTTATTATGATCTTTCGTTATTAGCTTAAGCAAGAACCTTTTTAGACAACGCCAAGACATGCGTCGGCATGAGAAGGTGAAGAAGTGGAGGACAAAAAAGGAGAGACTTGGTAAGTGATACTTTGTATGAATTACGATAACGATCAGAAAGACCACTAATTTTCTATGAATATTATCTCTTGGTTTTCTCGTTTGTACCTAACAACTTTTCCTACTTTGAATCACACCAAGTGTATTATTATTTCTTTTTGAAACTTTTAATAAATTTCTATTATTTTTCATTCCCGGGTTGCGAATGAAATCCCCTGTCCTAACATTCAAAGGCTCAAATAATTTTTTTGGCTTTATATATGTACATTGTTCGATTTGTTAAAGTGAAACGGTAACAACATTGTATAATAGTAACATTGGGCCCAAATCTGACTCCTATTCCTAAGAACTATTAGATTCGTAAGAAATTAATTCCTCAGAATCACTGAGGAATTCCACCAAACCAGGAAAGTTGAAAAAACCCAGAGTAAAGTGGCTCTTCGAAGAAGCCAATGATACAAAGGCCCTACTAAATACCAGAAATTCTAAACGTGTAGCATAAGACTCATTTGGCGGAGAATTTCAACGAAGTGCCAAACTCACTATGTTTATAAATTTGTAGACCAAAGCCGTAATCGTTTGTTTGAGTACCTAAAATAACTTTCTTAGCTTTGATTAAAGTTTAAAAATTTAAAAAAAGACATCTGGATACGGTCCAGGATATAAATCTGGGTACCGATTATGAATGAACTTGCTCGAAATAATACATTCTTTCTTGATTCGCACATGAAGATTCCGCAAAAGAAAATACAACCGGGTTAGAATATCAGTTATTTTCGCTGTGTCGTCTTGCCAAGATATTTGAGGTTCTATATATGATTCAAGACGTAGTAACTGAAAATGCAGTAATATTTGTCGAATATATTTGATATTAATAAAAATTCTATTTATTATATAAACATAGTTCTGTAATAATTAATTGAACCGTTACCGAGTGATCTAAGTCGCGAAAAATTCGTTTTGTTCAGGCAATGTGAGCTAGAGGCAATAGCTTCTGACTTTCTGATTTTATAATAGTAAAAAAAGGTCTTGTAGAAATATTAAAAAATTATCTCTTAAAGTATTATTATTCGTGTTTTAC